TCAGAAAAGCAAGGTCAAATTCCACTTTATGCAAAGCCTCAGAATTCAAGGATACTCAACAAGGAAAAATATATTTGGCACATAGTGTTACGCTTTTTATTTTGATGTCGTTTTGCTTCATTTATAATTTACTGACAACAAAGAACAAGGACACAAACTGACAAGGCTGAGGACATGGAGGCTTTTGTTACCCTGGGATTCTTCTGTTCAGGGATGGGAATAATAAACCAGGGATGTTTTTTGTACTGTGCTAAAGCCATCACCCTAGTAATAAACATCTTCTCATTAGTGGGGAAGAGTGAAAACTTGTAATATGTGAGGTGTTGTACCCCAAAAACAAGGCCTCAAGATGTTATTCAAGAAAACAGAGCAAGACATCTTTTTAAAAGAAAAAGAGCACTTTTATTTTAGCTGGCACCAGCGACACAGTGCAGATGGAGTTTGCAAAGTTGTGCAGCTGGGTTAGAATTTTGACATACTTTTATAGCAATTAAACCGCTGACATGACAAGAGCAAGAATGGGGAAGGCCTTTGTTCCCCTTTGCTTGGGGTCAGAGACATTTTGCAGCTGGCAGTTAGCCCTTTTTTCCCCCCTTAATTTACAGCCCTTGGTCTGCTAATTCAAGGAACATTTGTCTCTCACAAAAGGAACAAAGGTTGACAACAGCAAACAGGTTACGAAGGTGATGATACATACAGAACAGTATGGCAATGCCTCAGTTACCGTATAACTAGGTGGTTGGTGCTCCAGGTATATGGTTACTAAGGTGATAAGCATAGCACAGAATGACAAGGCTCTCTGTGCTAATAACAATCTTTTTAACCTTTCATTTTAGCTTTTTTTAGCACAACATGAGAAAGTAACCAAGTCAGAGCTCAGAAGGATTCCATACCCTGACATCACTTATGTTTCTGTGTCCCCACCAAAATAAGGACTGTGTCCCCAGAAACACAATACTTTATGCAAAAAATGAAAATTTGCTAATGATTCAAGACACTGTCATGCTTGAAACTCAGTTTGCACACTGAACTGATCCAAATAAAGAAATCACTCCTTCAGCCCTAGGGTCAGCCTCATGTCCCAGATGATTTGTCTGTGGAAAGATCTGTTCACTCACAGAAGTCTAGAAATCAGGGAAAAAAATCATTCCCACCCCACCCCCAAAAATGCATAAAAAAGCAAAAAGAATAGCAATAAGTTGGAAAGTTTCATTAGCTCTCAACAGTAGAGAATTTTAAAATTCTTTTAAAATATTTATTTATTTATTTATTTATTTACACCAAGAAACAAACTCTTGACTTCATGCTTGCCAGGCAGGCACTTGTGTCAGTGAGCTATATGCCCAGCCTCAAGGAGAGAAATTTTTAAAAACTCAAATGACTTTGGAAGGCAGAGAAGGAGCCAGATGTTACTTGCGCTTTGATTGGGAAATTCCAATTTAACAGCATGTTGGTAAGCCTTTTTCTGGAAGTTCACAGTGTAAAAGTGTGGTTTAGCCCAGCATAGTGAACGTGCAATCCAATTTACACACCTGTAATCCCAGCACTCAGGAGGCTGAGGCAAGAGGATTACCTTGAGTTCAAGGCCAACCTGAGCTGCATAGAGAGTTTGAAGCTGGCCTGAATTATACATAACAGAACACTGCCTCAAAAAGAAAAACATTAGCAGCAGTGAGAGTACTGAACATTTTAGAAATGTGGAATTTCAAGCCACACCTTTCTGCAGTTTAACTAGTCTGCATTGTGTGGACGTTGCATTTTGAGAAACACTGGTTCTAGTCACACCTACAAGCTTGCAGGAAGTTCCCGGTATTAACTTGGCCTTGGGCAGCAGGGAGCTGAGTGTCACAGGTTTTCCATTCTGAATACACAGGAGAATCACCTGAGGAATCTGAAAGTGAAATGGCACCCAGATTTCTCCCACATGGGTTCTGAGTTCACAGGCCTGGGTGCAGCTCAGATATTAAAACTTTTCAAAAGCTCCCTTGTGGCTTTAATGAGCAATGCTTGAGGAGATCCACTAACCTATAGGCCAACACTTCATTATAAAATTAAACCCTACCCTTGAACTGACGTTGAAATATGATTTGGTAATTTCCCTACAAAATATTCACTCCATTTATGACACACAGAGAGGGAAAACATTGTTCTCTTTTTAAAATTTATTAACATATGTTTGCAATACATAATTGCATTAGTTTTTCGATATATATGTGTATATCCCAAAGCTAGATATAGCCCCCAAATGACCAGTATACATACAGATCTTGGTCATTTTTGTTTTGTTTTTTGTCTTTTTGCGACAGGATTTCACTTTGTAGCCCAGGCTGGCCTCAAACTCGCAGCAATCCTCCTGCCTCAGCCTCCGGAGTGCTGGGATTATAGGCATGAGCCACCACAACCAGTCTCTAGGTCATTTTCAAATCCTCTTTCCTCACTTTCCTCCCTCCCTTCTTTAGATGTCCTTCTTCAACATGTCCTAGCTCCCCATTTCCTATCCACTCCCCTTTATTCTGCTCTTTAATTTACTTACATTTTGGATTTTTCATATAAAAGAAACCATGCAATATTTAAGCTTTTGTTGCTGATTTATTTCTGTTAACCTTATAGTTTCAAATCCATCCATTTTCCTACACATGACTAAAACTTAGCCTTTATGACTGAACAGTGCTTCATTGTGTATACATTCTACAATTTTAATCCATCTGTTGATGAGCATCTAAACTGTTTTCATAATTTAGCTATTGTGACCCGCACTGTTATAAATATGACTAAGTACATTCCATTGTAACGTGTTGACTTCAATAGAAAAGGAAGATTTTAAGGAATCGGCTCATGTGTCAGGGAGCTCTGGCAAACCAGAAGCCAGACTGCAAACCCCAGCAACAGTTGCTGTTGTCATCTTCAGTGCTAAGGCAGTCTAGAGATAAAACCCCTGCCTCTCCTGGGGGAGCCTGTCTTCTCCCATGAGGCTTTCACAGGCTTGGGTAAAGCCCTCCCGTACTCTGGGGAATAACCAACCTGCTTTTTCAGTCTGCTCATTTCAGTGGTGAACATTCCTAAAAAGTACCTTCACAGCAATGCTGGATTACTTCAGCCGAACAACTGGGTACTGCAGCCTGCATAAGTTGACACCCAAAATGAACCATTACATTTTTATACTAATGTCTACAATACCAATTCATGAAAATAAAGGTATCTGGGATTCCTTGGTCTGATTTTCTTATTTTTTCATATGAGGAAACAGACGAAAGAGGAGAAGTACCCCAGTTAGATGTATGTAATCACAACAGTATGCACATATCCAAAGTTCCCAAAATTAATTAGAAAAACTAAATCCTTCCAAAACACCATTTCTTCTTTGAAGATCTGACAAGAAAATGCAGCAAGCAGCCAGATCACTTTACTATATTTCTGCAGACTAACATTCCCTACCATCCAGATTTGGGGGTTACCTTCAGAGTAGATGAGGAACTGGAAATGGAAATGGCTCCCACAGCTCTCCTAGGCCGCTGCCTCGCTGCCCAAGGCATCCCATCTCCAGCCTTGCCTCCTCAGCTTCCCCAGGTCACAGCTCCCCCTGCAGGTTCCCGTCCGTGTCTCGCTCCACTCCACACAGTGTTTCTTCCTCTTTTGCTTTGCTTTACTAACAGCTCTTCCCCTTGGGTCTGACCTCTTTCACTCTCACCCTCATGCGCACTCACCTTTTGTCCACCTGATGCCTGTTCATTCTTCAAGTCCCAGCGAGACTTAGCTCTTTTCCCAGGAGTGCCTCCCTACCCCACTGCACTGAGTTCCTCACCTGGGCCCCCGCCTTCCTCCCACCCTTTATCTCCCAAGCAGGGTCCCGGGGCAGTCCACCTCCTCTGCTACAGCACCCCCACCATTGGTGCCCGCCACATAACAAACACTCAGTAGGTCAGTACGGGGGGAAGCAAGGAAGGAGGAAACGAGGAGGGGACTTCTACAGGATCTTTCTTGCACTGACAGCTTAGCTGTGATAACTGGGAAGCAATCTGCATTGGCAGTGCCAACAGAATTCTAAGACAGAGTAACTTTGACCGTTCCAGGCACTGGAAAGTCTCTGCCTACTGACCTGGTGCACTTGGGATTTGCTCCCATGGCTTGCAGGATGCTAATAACACTGTGAAGTCCTAGGGAGATGTGGCATGGAACTAGAGTGGTAACAGTGAGCTGTAAAGAGACTGACAAAAAGGAAAATTCATAGGTAAATTGGACTCCATCCACTTGGGATGCAAAAAGGGTGCAAGATCAGAAAGCTGGGAAAATTTGGCTTCTGGTATAAGGCAATATCATCACTTCAACTTCCAGAATTACAATGAAATACAAAACAAAGCAGAGCAAATTGATAGCCCTTCAAAAGTTTGTCATCCTTTTGTCCATTCCTACTTAGGCTGACTGGTCAGCAGAGCTGGTACTGCCCACACGACATGCTTTCAGGGTCATTAAAAAGATGCTTCACACTCATCGTGACAATGTGCTGGAATTTTGTAATTAAAATGCTGTTTGTTACATATCATCAAATTCTCTGAAAACCAAGATAAATAGTTATTAGTTACTTTTAATGTGCCAAATACACACTCAACGGATGCATTTATTACCTAACAGCAGGATGGAATTAGCAAAGACTCCTGTTTTCTAAATTTACATTTTGATACTGATTGAACTTTTATGAAAGACACACACTCTATAATCATCAGGGGAAAGAAATGCACTGTAACTTAACACTGCTCCATAACATTGCAAGTGGCCTGCAAATAGAGGGATTATCGTCAGAAACTGATGCAAAGTCACCACAAGAGGGCAGCAGTTGCGCAAAAAGGTAAATGCTGTTATTAAAATGTCATCAAAGGTTTAGAGATTTCTGCATCTTTTTCTAACTACATGTGTGGCCACATTTAATATTCTGTTAGATGTAAAGAGTGTATGCAAAAGAAACGCATGCAGGTAAATGGGCTTAATGTTTCCCTCTCTTTCAGATACTGGCCAAGAAGAGGTGAGGAAGAACAGAGAACTGCAACCTCAGACTTAACTTTTAATGTAGTTCTTACACCAGGATGGAAGGGGAAGCGTACCCCAATGCAACCACTGTCAATGGCACCCCAGGAAATCACCAGCCTTTGGAATACCATCAGGTGTGGGAGGTCGTCACCATTGCAGCTGTGTCTGCAGTGGTCAGCCTGATCACCATCGTGGGCAATGTTCTGGTCATGATCTCCTTCAAAGTCAACAGTCAGCTCAAGACAGTTAACAATTATTACCTGCTCAGCCTAGCCTGTGCGGATCTCATCATTGGGGTCTTCTCCATGAACCTCTACACTACCTACATCCTCATGGGCCGCTGGGCTCTTGGGAGTCTGGCTTGCGACCTCTGGCTTGCTCTGGACTACGTGGCCAGCAATGCATCTGTCATGAACCTCCTGGTGATCAGTTTTGACCGTTACTTCTCCATCACCAGACCGCTTACATATAGGGCCAAGCGGACTCCAAAGAGGGCAGGCATCCTGATTGGCTTGGCCTGGTTGGTCTCCTTCATCCTCTGGGCACCCGCAATCCTCTGCTGGCAGTACCTGGTTGGGAAGCGGACAGTGCCCCCAGACGAGTGTCAGATCCAGTTCCTCTCTGAGCCCACCATCACTTTCGGCACAGCCATTGCTGCCTTCTATGTCCCTGTGTCTGTCATGACTATTCTTTATTGCCGAATCTACCGGGAAACAGAGAAGCGAACCAAAGATCTGGCTGAGCTCCAGGGCTCTGACTCCGTGGCTGAGGCTGCGAAGAGAAGGCCAGCTCCCAGGGCTCTGCTAAGGTCCTGCTTCAGCTGTCCTCACCCCACCTTGGTGCAGAGGGAAAGGAGCCAGGCCTCCTGGTCCTCCTCCCGCAAGAGCACCTCCACGTCAGGGACGCCATCCCAAGCCACCGGCCACAGCGCCCACTGGGCCAAAGTAGGGCAACTGGCCACTGGCAGCAGATACCCCGTCCCTGAGGATGAGGCCCAGCCCCCCGCTGACCCTGTCTTCCAAGCGGTCTACAACAGTCAGGCCAAGGAAAGTCCGAGGGAAGAACTCAGTGCTAAGGAGGCCAAGGAGAAGGCTGTCAAAGCTCAAAGGGAAAAAACTGACTACGACATCCCAAAATACTTCCTGTCTCCAGCTGCTGCTCACAGACTCAAGAGTCAAAAATGTGTGGCCTATAAGTTCCGACTGGTAGTTAAAGCTGACGGGACCCAGGAAACCAATAACGGCTGTCGCAAAGTGAAAATCATGCCCTGCTCCTTCCCAGTGTCCAAGGGCACTCCCTCGAAAGGCCTCGAGCCCAACCTCAGCCACCAAATGACCAAACGGAAGCGAATGGTCCTTGTCAAAGAGAGGAAAGCAGCCCAGACCCTGAGTGCCATTCTGCTGGCCTTCATCCTCACGTGGACGCCCTATAACATCATGGTTCTGGTTTCCACCTTCTGTGACACGTGTATCCCCGTCACCCTGTGGCACTTGGGCTACTGGCTGTGCTATGTCAACAGTACAGTCAACCCCATCTGCTACGCCCTCTGCAACAGAACCTTCAGGAAGACCTTTAAGATGCTGCTTCTCTGCCGATGGAAGAAGAAGGTGGAGGAGAAGTACTGGCAGGCCAACAGCAAGCTGCCCTGAGGAGTTAAGGACCTTCCAAGAAAATTGGCTATGTCTAGTTTGCCTGTTTTAAAACATCATCTGTACTTTTTAGGCCCTGAAGTGTTGTAGGGGCTCAAGGTCTGCTGCCAAAAGGAAGAATTCACGTCTGCAATAAGTGCTGCCCTGTCTAACGATTCCCATCTATGGTGAAGGCCACCCAGTGACCTTGGAGTCTGACTCCCAGCCCTCATCAGACGCACACTTGTTAGAGTGCAACATAACTTAGGAGACTTTTGTCAGACCTTCTGTGGGGAACCGCAGGGACTGGGTGGAAATCTTGCCCGGTGGAAGCCAGGCCTAGGGTTTTTCTGTTGACTGGTACCAGTGAGAACCAGGAAAAATCTACATCAGTATCACCCATTAGCAAGAGTGATATTTAACTAGCTTCTAAGAATACCCTTCTTCCCTGATTGATGAGTGTCCATCATGGAGCTACTATGTGGGCTGTATGTCCCCTGTCCCTAGTCTAAGTGAAGCCCTCACTCTTTTCATTTATATTTGTGCTGATTCCCGCACCCAGGAAAACCATGTGGATCTCCACAGAACCATCCCTCCTCCCAGGACCCTGGACCACACTCCGTCCTCCAACAGGGCTTTTTCTGCTGATAAAGATGACCGAGTCCCCACAGTCAGTTATTTTTGTTTTCACCAGTGGGAATTTCCCCCCTTCTAACGAAACACACTGCGTGCGGTCTACATCATGCTCTTTTGAAGCCCTTTTGTACGCTGCTTTCAGGAGGCCTCGCTGTGTAACCGCCCTCCGCTGGTAAAGATCTCTGACCTTGTTGAATAGCCTGCTTTTTAATCTCTTCACAAACCAAACCTGAGGCAAAATGTGAAGAACAAATTTAGTTTCAGTCCAGACTTTTGAATTTCTTTAGGCGCCCTTTTGAAAGTCCTCAGTTTCTCTCTTCCAAACCCCCAGTTCACACCTGCGCAAGCAGGTCGCTGCACTCCCTGCGGCAGAAGTACTGCCTGAGGCAAACAGAAGAGAAAGGATTTCTGTCTTTTTAAAATAGGTTCTTCAAAGAACTTAAATGACTGACTTTTTCATTTCTGTCCGAATTCAGTCAAAAAGAAGAGCAGCCCAGGAAAGCACCATTGAGGGCTGTGGTCTTTAGCACTTCAGCCAGGGAGGGAGCTGAGTGGTGAGCACTGTTCCCTCCCACGTCCAGCGCCCAGTACCACAAAACCAAATGAACAAAAAATCCCCTCTGGTGTGGTGTATGTCTGGATGTCCCCCCAAAGCTTCATGCACTCATGGGGGCAGGCTTCTGGAATTTGTGAATGATGCATGGCCCAGTCCTGGGGTGATGAGGATGAAGCTACATCCAAGTGGATGTGGCCTACGTACAATATAAGGGACAGTGTCTTCTCTCCACACTCCTCCCTTTCTGCTCTTGCTGCTTTTGGTGTCTGCCACTGCCATGAACTGTTGCACTCTGCCAAGAGCCATCCTGCCTTGGAGCCAGCCAGGTATGGACTGAAACCTCCACAAATTGTGAACTAAATAAACCTTTCCTTCCTTCATTTTAGGCAAAAAGTAACCAAGACACCCTCCCTCTTTAAAAAGAAAATTTAACTCATGATAATGCATCCAATTAAAAGTTATCAATATATGTTAGGACACTGGGATTATAAAATCTTTTGAGTATTTGAGTATATATAAATAAACCAAATCCAAGATGCTTTTTTTTTTTTTTTTTTTTTTTTAGACAGGGTTTCACTATGCAGTTCAGCCTGGCCTTAAACTCCCTTTGTAGCACGGGTTGGCCTCACAGTGATCCTCCTGCTTTGGTCTCCTGAGTGCTGCGATTATAAGTGTGTGCCACCATTCCAGGCTGGAGATGCCTCTTTGATGATTCTGAAATAAACCAAGGTGCAAAAAATTGATGCTGTGAAATGGTACAAGCTGAGGGGTTGAAAGATGGACACTCCTGTCAGAAGCTCAACCTTCAACCTCTCTTCCAGCCCGATAGAGACCCACATTGGGGTGAACCCTGTAGGATGCACCGCAGCTGCTGCACCTTTGGGAAGGGCAAGTTGACACCTGCCAAGACAGAGAGGCGCTCCAGCCTGTGTGGTATCACCCAGGTGAGAGCTCATGGGCAGACCTGCTCCACCAGCTCTAAGTGAACAGTGGACTCAGCTGGGCGTGGCTCCTGACAATGAAAATCCCTCCGCGAGAATCTCACTGTAATGTTGGCCACTCATCGCTCACAGTAAAGAGATTTTCCCTTTCAGACAAAAGAATCCACACATCTAGAATGGGGATGGGAAGCTGCTGAGGCACACTTCACACTCTGCAGCTTCCCTTCATCGTTTGTGAAATTAACAAATGGAACTGTGTTCCTTTTTATCACTGCCTTGGGAAGGCAGGCAGTTTTGTGGACTATCCAACGCCCTTGACATGGGCAAACAAATATCCCAAAGCACTAGGGAAAACGAGACTTTTCTACAGTAGGGTCTTGAGTGGGAGCCTCGGAATAAACAGAATGAAACTGTAAACTACAGAGATGAGGGAGTGGTGTGTGGGGCGAAGCTGACTTCAGGTCTTAGGCCTCCTGTGCTCCCCGTCTCCCAGGCGCTGCCAGTGGTCACTATGTACAGCTGTGGCTTATTTCCTAGTGGATGCTGTCATGCTGCTAACAATGGCTGTGCATTTAATGGCTTGTCATGGAATCTTTATTTTCTGAATAATTTTTGGTTACACGAAGCATTTTGTCAATACCCCCAGCCTTTGGTTATGCAAAGTGTTTTGTCAGTTCTCCTCTGAGTGAATGTCTGTTAGGATGAGGCTGATATCACCTCTTTGTAATTGTGAGAGCTGAACCTAAACCTCTGCATTGGAATACCCGCTTGTCTACTTGTAAATATTGGTATTACAGCAAAGAATTTGTATTGTACTAGCATTATTCTGGATATTAAAGAAATGTAACCATGCAGCGGTCCAAAGCGAAGCACTTAAATAAAGGTCTCATCTCAGGCTATCACATCAGATCCATTTACACTAGAGTCTCAGGCACCTTTGCACAGCCTGGCCTTTTTTGAGAAAGGGATATGCAATATGGATGCACTTCTCTCTTGCTACCTTTTATTATTCTGCCTTTCCTTCCAGTTACCAGTGACCAAGAGTGATGACTGGAGGGGACTAAACTACTCCCCTTTCTTTAGAGGAGGTGTGACAAATCTGGAGCCGCAGGCTTTATCAGGCAGTGACTAGACCAAAAGGAAAGTCCTGTCCCTCTTCTGTCATTTCATTCTGTCACTCACTTCACCAGTAAAGTTCCAGGTTACATAAACTCTCCACCGATAAAAACTCTAGGCTGAGAATAAGCAGGAAAAGGGAAATAAGCGTGTAGGGGAAGGAGCTAGAGCAAATTTTTATTAGTTATTTGAGGTAGGGTCTTGCTATGTAGTTCAGGCTGGCCTTAAACTCACTATGTATCCCAAGCTGACCTCAAACTCACAATGATCCTCTGCCTCAGCTTTCTGAAGGATTGGGAATATAGCCTTGCACCACCATGCCCAACAAGAGAACATTCATGAATTATTTATTTATTGGTACTGGGATCAAACTCACAACTTTGCGTTTGCCAGGCAGGTGCTATACTACTGAACTATATCCCAAGCCCCTACATTTTTTTTTTAAAAAAACAAACTTTTTAAAAATAATTTTGAACTTTCAAAAAAGAGAATTGTGCAAATAACTCATAACCTTCACCGTACTATGCACTTATTAACATTTTGCCACATTTGTGTATACTGTGTGTGCATGTGTGTGCTCACAAATTTTACACTTTTTTCTTAGTCATTTGAGAGTTAAGTGACAGACATGGTTTTTCTTAACCTCTAAATATTTCAGTGTATACTTCTTAAGAACAAGTTATACTACATAATCACAATATAAATATAAAAATTAAGAAATTTGATATTATTACAATATTATATTATGTATTTTATAGGCCATACTCAGTTTCCTTATCTATTTTTTATAATTTTTATTCATTTATTTATTTTTGGGTGTTGCAGGTTGAACTCAGGCTTTCCCACTATGCTACATCCCCAGCTGTTTTTCATTTTTTTATTTTGAGAAAGGGTTTCACTAAACTGTTAAACTGCCTGGGCTGGGCTCAAGCTTGTGATCTTCCTGCCTCAGCCTCCCAAGGTGCTGGAATTATAGACCTGCACCACCATGGCTTGCTCATAGTCTAATTTTACTAGACTTTCAAATAATGTTCATTAGAAGAACTTCTTTTCCAGTTTAGGATCTAATCTGGGATTAGATTAGATATTGCATTTGGCTGGCAGGTTATGTTTAAACCCATTAATCTGAAGAGATTCAGTTTGTCTTTAATAACGTGGTCAGTTTTTTAAAAAATGTTTTTTATTTTAAAGAGAACAACAACAACAAAAAAAACCCAAAGCAAATCAGAACAGAACAATGTAAGCAACACAGAACTTCACAAGACAACAGGAATCAACAGTCCTGTTGTCTACCATAATGTCTCTTGTTTTCTTTGAAATAGTTGGCCATACCTTCACACACAATAACAGCAAACATAACAAGATAGCATAAAACCATTCAAAAGAATGGAAGCATTACAGGGTTCCAAAGCCAGAACACAGAAAATGAACAATGGCTACAGTAATATCTCATTTTTCTCAAAAAAGTTGTCCACACCATCGCACATAATAAAATCAAATAAAACACAACAGAACCAATCAAAACAGAAGAACAAAAGCTCGATAGGACTTCAAAGCAAGATGACAGGAAATCAGCAATGGCTACCATAATGTCTCATTTTCTTCAAAATAGCTGCTCATAAACATGGTCAATTTTTAATGAATACCAACTGTTGAAGTTTTTTCAGTGTTGGAATGGAACCTCTGACTTTGCATGTGGTAGGTAAGTGCTCTACTGCCGAGCCACACCCTACAATTCTATTCTTTAAAAAAATCCCATCAGTTTGGGGTTGGGCCAGCTCATTAGATTCTGTTTCTTTTGTTTGGGGCAAGAATATTCCAAATAGGGCACTGTGTCCTCAGGGCATCTCAACGAGAGGCATGTGATATTCTGTCAGCTATTGGTGGCATCATCGTCAGTCGCCCTCAGCATTCCAGGATTTGTTTACACTTCTTTCATTTTAGACTAACGAGCTGAAATCAGATGAGTGTTCAACAGCTGCTTTTGTTAATTCTTTTTTTCCTTCGGTGTAGTTATTCTGTTCATTGGTAATTGATAGAGTTATTTCCAAAAGATGAAAAATATTAACAAAAGATGAGAAATATAAACTAAAAAGCGGCCTTTATTCTGAGAACAAGGAGAGAGATGACCGGTACCCCCACCGCTGGCGTCCGGCCATCTCTCCGTCGGACTCGTGGCGTAGGGGCCTGTAAATAGCCTCGGTTTGGGGTGGAACCTAAGGCGGGCATTACGGATACACAGGTAGCCCATTGGTCCTAGGTTTGGCGCCATATGTAAATTCCCAGGGGCGGGAAGATGGCGTCACAGGTAACTTCCTAGGGGCAGGGCAAGATGGGGCTTCCTGCTTCCGGTTGTGGCTTTCCTGGCTACAGTGCCCTGTCTGGGCCAAAACCTTTCAGTAATCACTTCTGTATGTTTCTTTTCATATTGAATCTTAAGAGTTTTCCTCCATAATTACTTTTTAGTAAGAACAATATTAATGTGCTTGTAAAAGTCAAAACTATACAAAAAGATAAACTCAAAGAAGTCATTTATTTCTCTCATCGATTTCCTACCTTCCCATTGTCTTCAGTCTCAGTTTTTCCCTTGTTTCTTTTCTAACAAATTCTTTTTGAGGTTTTTTTTTTAGGTATTTACATCTGTATTATAAAATATAATGCACATGAGTTCAAGGTCAGCCTGAACTGCATAGTGAAACCCTGTCTCAAAAAGACAAAAACAAAAAACAACTCACAAACATTTATCTAGTTGTTTTTAAATTACAGAGAGTAGCTATGGATTTCCCAACCAGTATGATGAAGAGTTGGCTCTTACACAGTGACATGCACTTCCCAAGTACCCGTCTCGCTGACTGTCAGCCTACAGAGCTATGTACCCATGAGCACCTCTACAAAGTGAGCTCTTGTTGGCTATTACAGGCTGGAGCTTTCCATCAAGCTAAAGACATGGGCCCTAGAAAAGAAGGCACAGTCTCTTCTTGCAGCATGTACTGTTACTGAGAACTGTAAAAACATCAAGTAGAACAAGGTGAACCACTCTGGAGACATTAAGTGGTAACAGGCAAAAGACTGACTCTGTTTTGTGTTCATATGGAATTCAGGGAGGGCACAATCAGCACTATTCTCCAAGGGACTGCTCTGTCCCTCATCTCCCCTCATGACTCATGAATTAATGTACATGGGTGGGTGCAACCTTGAATTTATCTATGATCTGTCATTAGGCAGAGAAAGCTAAGCCCTCGTTCTAACCATTGCATTTAACTGCCATTCACATTGTCTGTGTCAGTGTGCTTATGCCAAGCTATCTGCCAAAAATTCCTAATTTCTTACTTTATGTGTTCTTCTTTTTTTTTTTTTCTCACCACTATACTAATGAGGAATTTTATGTGTTCTTCTGAGGAAGCCCTTTACCCCAGGAACCCCAAGGATGCCCTTATGCTCTCAATTAGAGCAGTTTCCCAAAAAGTGTCCTTTTACTAGTTGTTGGCAGGGATTTTCTGGAGGTTTTCTTGAATAGATGCATTTGTGTTGGCATCCTAGTAAAGGAATGGGGACCCTTACCTTCAACAAAGAATGTCCTACACACAACTAACACCCCCAATATCACAAGCTGGGGAGTGGTGTTTGCTTTGATAGTCTCCTGTGTATCTAAAAGTGACTCATAGTCCAGTTACTTTCAATAAAAATCTATGGTGTTATTAATCATGCACTGCTAACTACAGCCCCATTCTCCTTCAGATCCATACAGTAGAGCACAGAAGAAAACAGCATAGGTCAGAAGATGGCAATTCCGTTCCACTAGTGCGCTGCAGTGGAACAGAATTGACTTTGAATATATACATATATAATTATGCAAGGGAATGTATTAGGTGTACTTACAAGAGCAGAGGTGGAAGAGTCCTGTGGCTGCCTGTTAGACCTGAAGCAAAGAATCCACAATGGTCATCTGTGTGCTGCGAAGCTGGAGGATCCAGTAGCTGCTCAGCCTGAGAAGATGGGAGCCACAAAGCAGAAGAGACCAAGCACATAGCACCAGTCTGGGGTGGAAGACCTGGAAGCTCACTGCAGAATCACCAGAGTCTGCAGTAGAAGACTGGAGACTAATGTCCAAATGGTGAAAACCGGAGGTCTTCCAAAATGGGGGTGCTTCCTTCTTTCCCTCTGAATTCCAGCTAGGCTATGGGCCTACGACTGCGGCCAGCCACATCTTGGGAGAGTCTTCCCTCCCCCACACAAATTTGCTGGCCTACATATCAGTCATCCACAGACACACCCAAAGTTGTGCTTTACTAATCTGCTAGGCTTTTTTTGTTTTGTTGTTTTTTTGAGACAGGGTTTTACTCTGTAGTCCAGGATGGCCTTGAACTCTCAGCAATCCTCCTGCCTCAACCTCCTAAGCACTGGGATTATGGGTCTGCACGACCACACCCAACTGCTAGGTATTTTTTAATTCATTCAAATTTACATGTCATGATTAACAGTCATGGCAGGGAAAAAGTAACACAGATTTAACCAGTTTTTTGAAAGGACCATTGTCCTATCTGTTTAGAAAAGTCAGGAAAAAATAAAGTCTTTAACATCAACAACAAAGGCTACTAGTACTACCATGCACCTATGGTTCCAGCCCCACTCTGAAGGCTGAGGCAGGGGTATTACTTTAGCCCAGAAGTTTGTGCCCACAATACCCTGCTTCAACAAACAAAAATGATTACCATGGGATACTAGGTTTATTCACTAAAATATATTTTATAATAATGTAGTCATATATATATATATATATATA